TCCCTATCATCGATCCGTCGCACGGCGGGATCTGCAAGAACTCCGGTGCCTCTGTCGAAGCTTGCAAGAAAGATACAAGCCACCCTGGTCGCCATCTTAGCAGCACAAAACTATGGGCTCAAGTATACTATGATGAAGGCATAATTGATTGATGTATAGCAGCTTTTGTAGTGTCTTGAGGCAGCACTGGAAAAAAGCCCTCGCAAACTGACCTAGATGATCCCATGAAACGCCACTAATATCTCCCGGCCTTGACTCCTAACCCCAGCCCATTTGAAAACTGAACCAAACCTATCCCGATTCAAGTATCAACGAGAAAAGAGATATGAAAACGAAGATCAACCCAGGCTTCCGATCCTGATACCCCGACCCTAATCAACACCTGAAATCTTAGACCTGAAACCGTAGGGACGATGTGCGTGGTCCAGGCCGACCGAAATACCAGACGATAAGAGCGCAGAGAGGGTCTGGTTGGTCGAATGATTAACATCACTCATCGTCGTAGTCGGTCTTGATATGGTAGTCCCACTCTGCAAGGAACATACAATGTTAGCGTCCACAGTCTCGAAGGAGGTAAATATCAAGGCAACAAACCACGGGGCCGACACATGTTGGATCCTCGGCTATATGTACGCGGAATTCGCAAAGACTTACCGTCGGCCAGAGGATTCTCGGCCTTGACCTTGGGGCCACCACGCTCGTCGTCCGACTCGATCTTGACATAGTCGTCATTCTCGTGCTGAACCTTGACGTAATCATCCGAAAGCTGCTGCTCCTCGTCGTCGTCAGCAGCATCCTGTTCCTGCTCGCGTTTGACCTTCTTGGCAGCCGCGCGCTCCTTGCGCAGAAGGCCACGCTCAGCGACACGCTTCTTGGCCTGCTTGCTGCCAGGGTTAGCAGGGCGGCCGGTGGGAGGCATCGGAATGTCGTGCGCCTTCAGAAGACGCTCATATCGCTTAGCACTGCAAATGAGAGATGGTCATCAGTATTTGACGGATGTGATGATTGGGAATCAAATGCCTTACGCAGCTTGGCGGCTGACAATGCCGAGCTCCTTAGCGACACAATCGAAATCGACCTGAATTCCAAGTCAGTAAGATGGCAGCGACGAGTCGACATGCGACAACCGTGGACAAACCTTGCCGAACGCAGAGAACTTGACGCAAGTCAAGAGGAACACGAACTGAGAATTCTCAGCGGTCTTTGCCTCGCCCTTGCTGCTACTTGAGGGCATTCTGTAGACGAGTTAGCTCGGTGCCTTGTTGCGAGATTTGGTAGGGTAAATGTCGCCGAGCAGACTCTGGAGGTGAGCGGAGAGAATGTGTGCTTTTTACGAGGCACAATGAGGGGTATTCTGAGCAGGTGAAGGTCATAGAGTAGGAGGAATTGCACAGATTTGAAGACGATGAGGATCAAACAAAGTGACGATAATGAGAATAACGTACTTTGCTATGGTCGCACGACTTTTCTTGGTGGTTCTTGATCTGTGAATGCGTGACTGCGCTGGTGCCGGGGAGACCGGTTGACGATGCTGGTCGGCTGAGATGTTTGGGGAGAGGACAGGAAGCGGTCGGGAGAGATCGATTGATACTTAGTAAAGAGTGTGGGACCAGTGGAGCAACCCTACCCGCCAGCTACCTTACTTTGCAGCGGATCGAAGACACGAGAGCGACGGGGAGGACACATTAGGAAATCACTTCATGCGCACAAATGTCGGCCCAGGAATTTATTATTGTCCGTCTTTGCCTTGGAGGTGGACGACACCCTTCATTACAACAGTCCGCCTATGAAATTATAACTGTCTATCATGACACCAGTCGTCTGATATACATGCCATCCTGTCGTTGCCTACATCGGCGTGGCATTCTTCAATTAGAGGTGGACACCATTCTGTGAGCCTTTTCTCACCTCAATGCTATCAAAAGAATTCTATTAGATCCCATTTGAAATCCAAACCGTCTAGACTGCCACATCCCATGTGGCACCACCACAATTCCCGAAATGAATGTCAGATTAGGTTTTGGAGCATGAATTGTCTCCCTGAGGGTGCCTCAAACTTGAATACTTTGGGATCCGACTGGTCCAGAATTTTGGTGGATTTATCTTCAACCAGATGACCATTTTCCAGCCAAAAGTACCATCCCTAAGACCAATACCAGGATACCTGCTGGCGCCCTGTTGTCGGCAAACTTGTTTCGCGCCAACGCACAAGCTTGAATTTCAAGTTATGTTCCCACTCCTCCTACCACCATCGACACGCAAACGACCAAACTCATGACACATTTCAAGGTCGATCAGGTTCATAAACCGGGCGGTCAAAGAGATCCCATAGAGAGCAGGCCGACGATATATATTTCTGTAGAAAAAGCCCCCCAAGGCAACACATCAACCTCAAAAAAGGATACCCCGACAAAAGGCCATCATCAATCAAGATGGCTGACACGAGTTCGACGCCGACCTCACCGACTTACCTGCCCTCGTCGAGCAGGAGTCTGAAGTAGGGTAGGTAGGTAACTAAGGTGTGCTGACTGGATTGGTACGAATGTAGATAGACAGCGAAGTGTGAAGGCGGACTGTGATTTTTACCTGACAATGAAAGGATTGGTGCAAGGGGCAAGGGTCAAACTCTCAGCTCCCGTCGACCACCCTCCTCGTGAAGCAGGTCTGAAGCCTTCGTGTCCCCTGCGGTGGGTGGATTCTTTCGGCTGTTGTCTGGGCTGGTGCCCTGTTAATTTCCCGATCCCGGGCAGCGGACGTTACGAGATCGAGTAGAGGTCCTCACTCTTCATTGAGCATGCTTCTTATGGACCGAAATCTGAAGTCATAATGTAGCCTGCGGTGGGTGGACTTTTTCGTCTGTTGTATGCGCTGCTTCCCTATTATGTCCCAAACCCGGGCAGCGCTGAACAGACTCTAAGGGGTCAAGAAAGCCAGCCGTCGGTCTTTATCGAGCACGCTCCTCATGGAGCCAAGCCCGAAGTCGTCATGTATGTAGCCTGCGGTGTGTGAAGTTTTCATCTATTGTCTGAGCTCCTTCCATGATTCCTCCCCCCCTATTCTGCGCAGAGGACGTCAAGGTATTGTGACTCGGCCCAGTTTCCTCTGCTTCCTCGCACCTTGCAGGTTTCCCTCTTTCGGAAAGGTATATACCGCTGACATCGGGGTATAAAAGCACCAGCTTTCTACCCTCGTCTGCTTTCTTTCCTCTTACCACCAACAACTCGCAAGCTCACTTCCAAACCTCGGTCTGCTGTCTGCCGGTCTTTCTTCCAACCACTTCTGTTGTCTGCCTCCGGGCACTTGGCAACATTTCATACCTACCTCACTTATTCGCCTGTCCTTTCTCCCATCATTTTCTCATACTGACGCATTTGCCGCGACACAGACGAAGGCCAGCAGTCACCATGGCCGATATTTCGCGCCATTGCAATTACTATGCGAATGGTAGTACGTGCAAAAATGCGCATTGCCGTTTTGCCCACGACCCGGTTGTCCGGGCGGCTGCTCCCTCTGCGGCGGCCTCCGGCCAGGCCATCGCTGCCCGTGAGGCACTGCTCATGGGGGAGTGGATCCACGTCGCCGCCGAGCTGGAGGCTGCTGGCGGGATTGCCATCGCCAACCCGGCTCTCGCGGCCTGTAAGTTCCTCCGCCCTGACCCTGTGCAATACTTGAGCACCTGCTAACTGCCAGTCTAGAGTTTCGTCGCCTCACCGCCGAGGTCACGGCTGCCGGTAAACGCGCCGAGGCCAACTGGGCTCTCGCGGCCGGTAAGTTCCTTTTGCCCTGACACATAGGATATTTTTTAAGCACCTGCTAACTGCCATTCTAGTTCTCTCCCCTCTCTAATAAGGCGCGCGCGAGACGAGGAAACGGGGTTTTGATCTTGAAGGCAGGGGTAGTTTTAATTTCGAAAGGGTCGGACTGGTTTTTGGTAGACGCCTGCGAATTGATTCTTTTTTTTTTTTTTTTTTTTTTTTTTTTTGGAGTGACATATCTGCTCCTAATGCATGATTTATCTGATTCCTGTGCATGATTGTATTCACCACTGCCGTATTTGGATAATCTTGACACACGACTCAGGAGTACATTTTCGTGCGTAATAAGATATGAAGGCACCTGTCGGAAACACTCTCGTGAACCCCATCGTCCACAACCACTTCAGCCCCAATGGAAATGTTTGTCGATACGACGTTTCCAAGCCAAAGAAAGGGTCTGATCTCGGTAACTACGCTGACTAACTCAAGTGCCTCGTCGAGCGTCACGCCGGCGTCCTTGGCCTTGACGGTGGCACGGCAGAGGGCCCTGAGGACTGCCGTTTTCTCACGCGACCAGCTGACCGCTGAAAGAAAAGTGCAGAAAATTGGATTGTTTGCCATTTATCAGAGTATGTTAGGTAAGCAGTGGTCGAAGTAAAGTAGGATCGGCGCGCCAAGCCCACGCCATGTCGCTGCTGGCACCATTTGCGGCTCTCTGTCGGTTGCTCTGCCAATATCTCGTATTCGCTTTTGGCCCAAACAACCCCCCTAAGGCCTGCATATTCGGCTACCAACTTCCGCATACATAAGAATCCTCAAACAGCTTCCAGTTCTGCAAAGTATATTCAAAGCCGAGTTTGCACCCCTTGATCTGAAGTTCGGCGGAAGTTGGACTACCGAGTTGATTGGCTGCGTCAGCTTGTCCCGGTTGTCCGTGCGGATGAGTTTTGGATGGGACTGGCGATAGCATCTGGATAGCGCAGATTGAGCTAAGGTCCTGCTGCGGGTCCACTTAACCACGTCTCTGACTCAACAACTGACATGGTTCTTACCAGCACCGACGACGACCCAGCAGGATTCGAATACGCTCTCGACAGCTTTTACCGGGCCGAGCGCGGAGACAAGCTCTTCCGCGATGATGCCTATTACGCGGTGTGTAAATTACAAACAGACTTACTTTCACTTGAGACATGCCGCGCGCCTATAAAACCTCCAATAGTCGCAAAACCATCCATCAAATAAAAAGGGCGTGTGACTCAGTTGGTAGAGCGTTCGCTTTGCATTAGATTCTGCTTTAGGTACTTGTACCGAGAGTGCTTTCTGGCCCTGCCAGATTGCGAAGACTTATCTATAAATTCGAAAGGTCCTAAGTTCGATTCTTAGCTCGTCCATATCAAATGGGTTGTTAACTCTTTTTGTTTTTAGTTGTATAGCTGTAGATTCTTTCTTTTGACCTTGTTGTCTGTACCCCTTTTCGTTTTGTTTTCCTATAGTTTTAAATGCTACCGTACATGTACTTGCTGCATTTAACTTGTCCATGTGGTCGGTAGAATGACGAATCCTGGAGGATGGGAGGATAACTTTTCTTGTCTATGTGAGTTTCAGTCAGTAACCTAGAATATGCCCTTAAGATGGTGAAGTTTAAGAACTCGAGAGCAATGCTGGATTTGCGGTCCTTTTCCGTTCTTCGCTGTCATATGTTCTTCGGGATCCGGGCCAACAAAGAGAGGAGGAACCAGATTAAACACGCGCCCTCGACCGGGCTCTTGTGATCCTCGAATCTCTATCCGTAAGTGCCCTTTAGATGATAATCTTGCCGCCATTGCTACCTTTGTCTGGCACCTGTCATTGGCTTGGCCCGTCTGAGTTTCCAGTTGGCGTTAGTAATCCTTGAAGGGTTATGGTTACCTGCTCTTTGACTCTTCCTTTGCTTATTCACCTTGTTCTGGCATCTGATACCCTTATCCACGGTAAATAGCACGAGATACCCCTAACTATGCCCACAACCTGCTTCTCTTCTCACTGTAGCTCGAGGAGGTCAGCCGGCCAACATGCGCCATCCGGTCATTCGTACTCGGTTCAATTACTTTCTCGCCCTTTTGCCGAGCACTGTATCAAAGCTGATAAACGGAGAGAACCTGGAGGGGAAAGAATCAGCAAGCTAAAGCTTCAGGTGAAATAAACCCGTCATCAACGGAGCTTTGTGTAAGCAGATAGAATTCCGGCTCCTCGGCGGGCAAAAAGTCTTCTTCGGAGCCTGAAATTCTTTTTGGTCGCTTTGTGCCCGCAGGCTTCTTTATTCTCCTCGACAACTTGTTGTTTATTTGATCTCAGCGAGCCAAGGTGGATCGGCCTGCAAGCAACCTAAGGTCGGTCTGGGGCACGCCTCCCGCGTCGTCATCCCAGCCCCAGCCGCAACAACCGCAGCAAGGCCAACCCTGCAGTGTTCGGCAACATGTAGGAAGCCCGAGAATGTCGCTTTGAAGTCTGCCATTAGGGTCCCTCTCTTGGCAGATGTCGGAGGTGCGTGTCCGGGGTGTTGTGACGAGCCAGTGCAATGACCCAAACCATTACACCAAACCCCCCTCAATCTCAAAAGGATGCCAGAATACCAAAGGTGCTAACCTTCGAAATTCTAATGGGTTATATATCGTTGACGGTCGCAATCGTTCGATCAAGCCTCAATCGCGCTAACCGTCGCAGTTTATTAAAGAAGATAAATATTAGGTTTATATTCAGTATAATGGTTTTTTCTTATTTAAAATACAGCTTTAGAAGGTACTTACACTAAGGTTTGTGATGGTCGGTGCGACTGAGCCTTGATTGAATGGTTTGCGACCGTCAACGGTATATAACCCATTAGAAATTCCAAAGGCTAACTGACACCTGTGGTATTCTGGCATCCTTTTGGTGTGAGGGGGTCTAGCTCAGTTAGTTGGTCTGCGTTAATTGAGTGGGTTTTATCACAAGGTTTCTGAATCATGGCAAAGGAGTACCTACAGTCTAGCAAAACGTTTCCTACAGTTTCTCGAGACCACCTCTAAGTGAAAGCTTCCTCTGGTAAACCCTTGAACCCGTGTGTTGAAAAGATTGAAGTTAGTGACTTTAAAACCCATCGAAGTAAAGGACGAAGAACCAAGTGGGGTGATGGTCTGGCGGTCAAATATCTAGTGGTTCGAAACATAAGTAGGCGGGTACTAGGGCCGTAGAGTAGTTTTTCTTATCAGGGCTTTAGTAGGCAATGAAATAAATCACTTTACATATGCTTCTCTCTGGAGAGCCTTTACACTATTAGGAGACCAAGGCACGCCGCGTGCTTCATAGGGATTTAAGCAATCCAGAAATGGGAAAATATAACGTTATATAGAAATTTATCCGCTAGTCGGTAAGATAAGTGTTAGCTGTCATGGCATGGCGCTATGCAGTATATAATCCATAGTATTCTAAGCCTTGTCAGCTTGGAATTCGACATCCTTTTGTAATGGGAAGGTTAGCTCAGTGGTGTGGGTCGTTGTGCGACGCCGTCACATTAGCCTCCGTTATGGTATTTGAGACTAGGTTCCTCTCCGTCTCCAGGCACACTAAGACGACTTAATTTAGTAACCAGCACTGATTTCTATATATATTTTAACTAAATAACGCCACGTAAAAGCCGTTAACGATGTAACTCTATCCTTCCGGATAGGCCGGTTTCAATTAGGTACCTACAAGAGAGGTTTTTCTACGTCGATTAGAATAGGTTTGCTCCGCAGAATCAACCACATACAGACCAGAGACCACAACTTGCATCGTGATTACGTCTGCAGACTGATTTTCATCATTTTTTTGTTATTGCTACCAATAATGGAATTTTCTCTTGAATTAAATAACTGGCAGGCCTGCTTCGCAAGCAGGAGCCTGTAGGGTCGAAGGGCATGAGGAAAGCGGTCTGGGTAACAAGATTGGGGCCTTATGTGGTAGGCATATTGCCGCTATTATTATCGTTCATGGCTTGTCAGGGTTTTCTGTTCTCTGGACGACGTCCGATAATCCTGCTTGGTACCAACTACCTCTCCAAGTACCCACTAACCAACAAGCCGTCCGTTGTCGTTACTCTCTGGTCAGTTCAAGGAAGAACTGTTTCCAATAAGAAGCCTGATGGGAGGCCAAAGCTGTGTTCCATTAGAGTCCGGATCTTCCTTTCTCGAATCATCGTTGTGTTCTTGGCTAATGAATGCGGTGCAGGCGTGCTGGAATCGACCGCAAATTCCAAGGGGCGCTCATTCGGCAATGCTGACGGAGAAGGTTGGTCTTTGGGGTATCACTGTCGTCTTCGTTGAGGAGGGAGATTGTGGTCCGCTTGTAATGCAGTATGTCCTCGTTCTAGTCCTTGTCCTTGTTTATGGCTCTGTCATCATGGTCATTTTGGACCCGCACCTTGGGCTATCCTATTCAAGCCTATGCCTATCGTCTGCTTTGGAGTGTCTCTGTTTGAATTCCTCCAGACTCTTGCTCGCCCGTTGTTTGACTCGGTTAGCTTCTCGCAGATACGACGGGGGACGGGGTTTGACGTGAGAGGGACGGAGCATCCAGAGGTTCTTGTCGTCATCATTTGCGGACGTGATTCCACAAGCCTGCATCTTGTTAAAGGATGGCCAATGTCAAGGAGGCGTTCTACGCGGCCTTTGGGTGACGGTGAGTCAAGCTGCCATGCTACGTGATGCTGGAAGGACCGAGCCCTATGGCTTCATTGCCATGAGAAACATCAATCACATAATTACGAAAAGCAACGCAGATGCAAGTATGAAGACGAGAACTTGATTGTAAACTGCTATACCGTCACCTTAAGAGGTACTTGGGTAATTGCAGGAGGGCCCCATTTGCAGAGAGAAAAGGATTTTGAGACCTTGGGTATCCCTAAACTCCAGCCCAATTCCCACGCCATAAGCCAACCACCGTGACCCGTCCCAGATTTCCCCAAATACAAACGACCGGAAAAAGAAAAGGAAACCCGAGTGAGATGCATGTCGATGTCGAAATTGAAAATGGTCAGACCCGAAAGATTGTCGACTTAGACTTCGCCGGCAGCCGGGAGAATTTGAATATCGTCGCCCCTAGGAGAGAGAGAATGGTTAACAACACAAACTGCGATCGAGCAAAAGGTGAAAATAGACTCACTCGTCATCGTTAGGCTCCTCCTTCTTGACTTTCTTGGATGGAGTCTTGGACTCATCCTCGCTGTCGTCCTCGGCCTTGCCAATGAAATCCGCCGACTTCGTGGCCTTTCCCTTGCGCTTCGCCGGGGTCTTCTTGGCGGATCCGGCAGTCGCACGTTTCTTCTTGGCAGGGGTCGCGGCCTCCTCGTCTCCGGCGTTGGAGGCAGCGGCCGAGGCGCCGCCGCCCTCCTTACGACGCAATTTCTGGAGGTGCTGGCTATATTGAGAGAAGAAATAATGTTAGTGTTCCGGTCAAATAACTCTGTGTGTTTGGATCACTCTGAACAAAAGCAGAAAGAAAAAAGGAAAAAGACTGTCTATCGTGAAGCTCGCGGGAACTGGAATGAAGATACGTGATGGCCTTGACGGTGCAGGTGTACCCCAGGGCATGCATACGTGCCATAACGGCCCGCAGCTGCTCCTGAGTTGGCTGCAACTCCTGAGTCAGAGATGTGAGCAGATCATGGTCTGCCTCGCGGTCCCAACTCATCCGTTCAGTCATGGTAGAGGCTAACGACGATGTTGATGAAGGGACTCCAATGGTTTGATACAGGAGATAATGGGAAAAGTTCGAGGTGATTCGATAGTGGTTGGTGGTTGTTTGGTTGTAAGGAGAATTCAGAAAAGCGGGAGAGAAGCTATGGGGGTTTATAGGAAGGAGAGGAGACTAGCGCGGATGCAAATGGGGGCGGGCAAGGCGAGATATTGTCCAGGGTGGGGCAACGGCTCACAGTGCAGCACTCGATGTGTAAATGTAGCCCTTCTGGGAGACCTGGTCCAGAATCATTTCCCACTCGGCCGGGGTAGGAGGTGCACAGGCGATGATTGCTTGTAACAGGGCCAGGTGGCAGTCCGAGTCCCAATTTGTAGGAGCCATTGTGATGGTGAGGTAGATGTTTTGGCTGCTTCGTCCTCTCTCGTTGTGTGCGGTGCTCGAGATTTGAGAGATGTAGGAGAGAGGAAGAGAGGGCACAGGAGGGGGGAAGAGGATGAGAATATAAGGTGAGGATGGGAGACTGCCCCACTGAACTGATATATGCAATCCAGCACCAGGAAAGGGAGAGAGAGCAGTGATTCGAAAGTGAATCCCGAGACAGTAACGTACACCAAGGCGGAGCTGCTGAACGTGAAGCCCTTGACGTGAAGTCGATCGGTAACCGCCTTCCAATCTGCATTGGAGAGGTGGATATGATCGA